CGGACCCTAATTAAAATAGAATGTTATCTGAGGATAATTTGGGTTTCTTTGAATGTACAAAGCTCCCACAGTGTATTTCCCCGCTCCCTCCTGGTAACTACAGAGGTTTGCAGTAGTTCCATTATCGCTGGTTGGGGATCTACGATAAGACGCACAAACTTTCAAGGTGACGATAATTGTTTTCTGTGATAGAAACAATCACATCTCAGAGCCAGTCTGGAGCTTCAGTCTCTTTTGATTGTCCAGCCTTCTCAAAGTTTGCGAACGGGTTGTGAACCGGTTCCACCAAAGATGGATTCTTCCGTTTAATGTTGTCTTATTTGACTAATTTCTGACCAAACAAGATAATGTTTTTCCAAAAGATGTTTTCACTCATTTGTATTACTTTGAAGGGCAAATTGTTGACTTCCTGTTGGAGATAGGTCAGGGGTGTCAGCGCGAGATTTGTGGGTCTCATTGAGACGAACATTTTGGTGTTGGTTTGATCTCTGTACGACATTCCTACTGGCTGCTAGGGCCGTTTTAGTGTGTTTTCTGTAACTAGGTGGCGCTAGAGAGCCTTTGAGTTTTTTTTTTTTTCATTTTATCAAATTTTTCGCCGATTCGGAGGTGCGTGCCAATTTTGGTGAGTTTTTGATCATGTTTCAGGGGTCTAATTAAGGGTTTGGTATTCGTCAATAATAAAAATAAGAAGAAAGAAACGAAGCAGGAACAATAATTATCCTAATTATCTCGTAATTCACATTAAAAAAAAAAACATTGAGAGAGTCACAGATATGATTTTCTTTTCTTGTTTTTTCCGTTTCAAATTTATTATATCAGGATAAACTCCTTGAGATTCATCTGGTTTCCTTTGTTGAGTCTTACATGAGTAAATGAGCTTTTATCACTTCTTATTATTTTATAAAGGGGAGAAAAACCTGCAGTTAAGCCTCGTGCAGCAAAAAGTCCCTCAGTTTTTGTCATGTGACTGTTGGTTGCAGCAGAGTCACTACGGGTTTGCCAGATGCGCAGACGAGCGCTGAATTTTTTTGTTTTCTACAGAATCTGGTTAAAGGAGATGTTATACATAAATCTTTAAATGAGACGTGCAGTGATTTTGATTTAGAGTAATTAATAACTCACAGATTATAAGTTCAAGGACCATGATTTGATGATTTTTCAGTTTTTTCAGTTTCTGGGTCTAAAAAAAGATGTAATTTTTTTTGTTTGTGTGTTTTTTTAAAACAAAAAAAACAACAGCAAATCCTTCAAATCTGCCAGCAGGTTTAAAAATGTCTGTTTGAGCCGTGACTTTGTGAAGATGTGCGATCGCTGAGAGGAACACAATGAGGAACAATGCTGTCATCACATATATGCTTTCACATATGGTGACTATAACACCACTTATAAAGACAGTTACATATTTATGGTCACTGTGAAAAGGCTCAATGCAGCATCCAGAGCTCCAGACTATTCCAGTGTAGTGATGCTTCTCAGAAGGTTTCTTTAAAAGAAAGCTTTCACACAGAAATCTGTAATCGAATATCCTCCCAAACCTGCAGCAACAGCACAAGTGTTTTTTTTTCTTCATCATCTGCCCTTTTCAAAAGTCTCTGAGTGCAATACTTGATCAAACTACAATTTGATATAAAGTGAGCATTATATAAGTTACAATATGAGTTATGTGATATGAACCTTAAAAAGGGAAACACCGGAACGCTCTCAAATCACAAAAAGAAGCAGAAAAATAGAAATAAATCCACTAACTCAATTTGAGTTTGAAGGCTAGAATGAGCGAGAGAGCGTGTGGGGGTGAAATAGATTGAAATGAGAAGGAGAGAGATGGAGGGAGAGTAAAATTTTGTACCTTTCAGCGTCAATTATCCAATTGTGCGGTGCCGACATGACAGAAATCAGAGCTTTTAGAAAGCCTCAGCCCCCCGCTGCACTGGCACAGAGCTCAGAGCGTATAATGTGATACGACATTATAGTCTCGGCTTAATGCAGAGACACAGGGACTTATAAAATATGGAATATGATGCTCTGTGTGTGTGTGTGTGTGTGTGTGTTCATAAAGGAGGCAATGAGAGATTGAGAAAGAGGGACAGAAATACAGACAGAGGTGGTGCAATAGAGTCGCTGTGAGAGAGAGCGATAAAGAAAAAGACAGATTCAGACTCTCAGACGGGAAGAGATGCATTATGCAAGACTGTCATAGGGAGAAAAAATTTAAAAAGCAAAAGATTTGGGACTCTTTCAAATTTGTCCCTCGCCGAGTCTTGATCGCCTTTTTATTTTTTCAAGCCAGGTTAAAAGGTACATTAGCCCAACATATGGGTGTATGTATATTTGATATCGTCATGCTCCATATTTAATACCCTCAAAATTCTACCTCAGCAGATTTTAAGTAGAAAAACCTGCTCGAGTTTTTATCGCTCATGTACACTTGCTGCACCGTGTGTGTGTCTGTTTTGACTTATTTATGAGGGATTTCTTTCTTCACTGGTCTGAAAAGTTGCAGCGCAGATTCTAATTAGGCAGCTTCTGCAAAAGGAAAGAAAAACGATGTGAGATCATCATTTGTTTTGTGTAGAAATGCACCTCCTGCCCGACTCGCTTTAGTCTCCTTTAACCTTTTTTTTTTAGCACCAGCCCATCTGTTTTCTGAATGTTTGATCTTGACTGTGGGAGTCTATTGTGGTTAATACTAAATACGATAAGATAAAGTGAAATTAGCATTATTGATCCCTGAGGTTAAATCGGATGATTGCAGCAGCAACAAAAAAGTGGAGTTTAGATAAAAATCAAACGCATTAAACGTATCGGAGACGAAGCTCTTCATCACGGTAATGGGACGCTCCTATCAGCTGTGTTGATTAGGAGCAGATTTATGAATTTACAGATGTTGTACCACAGATGTATCATCTCAGCTTCATCTGGAGCTGAAGTACTGCTGCTTTGATTTCAAGAGGAAGTGCAGACTATACAAATACTGTTTGTGTGTAGAAATGTGCAGCAACTCAGGTGGCTAAAGACTAAAAGTCAGACCTCCTGTCCATCTGTTTCAGGTTTGGGCGTGGAAGGAGAACGTCTGGGAGAAGGAGAAAGGCACCCTGATGGAGAGGTACACCGTGGAGCAGAGCAAACCTCCATCGCAGGGCGGGGCGGTGCTCTCCACCCTCACCATCAACAACGTCATGGAGTCCGACTTCCACTCGCCGTACAACTGCACGGCCTGGAACTCCTTCGGACCCGGAACCATGATCATCACGCTGGAGGAGACGGGTAAGGAAGTCCGTTTGTGGTTTAACTTGATCATCCAGCATTTTCTGAAATGAGGAGTAGATCGACTGTTTGCCTGATTGATTGTCAGATCAAATATTCAGCATCTTTATGATTCTTGTAATTCTTTTAAACCAACTTCCTGATGCAGCTGCTTGTGTCAGTGGTCACTCTGACATCTGACGCATCACAAGTAAATGTTGAAAAGTTCTCTATGAATGACTATGAATTATTTTAGCGTTATTCCAGCTAGGTTGTGCCGGGGTTTGTGTTATCTTAAATTTTGACACAAGTGTATTTTCAATTTTAGTACAAATGTTTATGAGTTTGAAATATCAATTATTGACTTCCTTTAATTCTAATATCAAATATCAGCCCTGAAAAAAAACACATCAGTTGACCCCTAATTACCATTATTTATTTTATTTCATAAATGATGAGGAAAGCAAAATATCTGTGCAAAATGTAGAATGACATAAGATGCAGGAACTATATGACGAGTTCATTTGCAAAAACATATAACTCCATCTTGACAAACCTTCAGAAAACCCACGTTTCCATCGTCTACCTGAGACAAAATCAATCAAACTTAAGTTATCTCTATTTTTGTCGTGTCATTACTACTGAGTCAGATCCACTCAACTTCAGGTTGATTGATATTATCTCAACAAACAACAAAAAAAAATACTGAAAATCTACAAAAATAGAGTTTTCTGTTTTTGCAAATGAACTCTTCATATTTAGATATCAAGTATGTGCCAGACTCTTCATATTGTATTTTAGGAATTAAAGGTATCAAGTGCAGTTTTTTGGCACTTTAGTCTAATGTTTATATACTAATAATGTTAAACCAAAGATGAAGAAATACATGCTCACCATTAGGGCTGCAGGGTGGCGCAGTTGGTAGCCTCGCAGCAAGAAGGTTGCTGGTTCGCGTCCCGGTGGGGGCACTGGAATCTTTCTGTGTGGAGTCTCCATGTTCTCTCCGTGCAGTGTGGGTTCTCTCCGGGTTCTCCGGCTTCCTCCCACACGGTCCAAAAACATGCTGAGGTTAATTGGTGATTCTAAATTGTCCGTAGGTGTGAATGTGAGTGTGCTTGGTTGTCTGTCTCTAAGTGTAGCCCTGTGATAGACTGGTGACCTGTCCAGGTGAACCTGCCTTCACCCTGAGTCAGCTGGGATAGAGTCCAGCCCCCCATGACCCTAGTGAGGATTAATCGGTGTATAGATGATGGATGGATGGATGCTCACCATTGTGTTGGACATTAGGTGATAGTAATGTGCCTTAAACACAGGAATATGCCCATAAGGTCATTTCATTTTGTTCACAAACCAACAAGTGTAACACTACACTGTATGCTACATAATATGTGCAATACCTTTTTGGGGTGATTATTTTTTATAATTTTTTAGAAGTGCTTTTTTAATATTGTGTACTTATTTTATTCTTATAATGTATATGTGAATTTTTTTTTTTTTTATTGCTGCTCCTACTTTTGATGTTTACATTTCTTTCTCTCTATATAAAGCTTACTTGAGAAAACACACAAAGAATTCCAGTGTACCTGTGCTGTAATGTGCAAATGGCAATAAAACACTGTTCTGTTCTGTAAAAGAGCAGAAGATGACTATGGGACACCTTAAAAATGCTGGTTTAAAAACGTTTTTAATCTTGCAAATATTTTATAGAATAAAAACTACAACTGAACTCCCTCTCTGAAAACAAAGTTAAGAATTTAGACTCTTTTTTATCCATGAATATAATCCATTACTACTTTGAAATGTCCTAAATGTAACTCACTGTTGCCTCCACTAGTATGTGCAGGTCTGTGCAGTCTCCGCCTCTTTTAACTCGCTGCAGCTCGAGCACACCGGCTCACCTACAACTCTGCTCAAATGCTGTAAAACTGCTGAACACTACAAAGTGGCAAGCTTAAATACTGGAGGAACTGAGCCATTTGTTCAGGCCACAAACTGAAAAAATAATGTTACAGCAAGACCAACACAGAGAGTTGAGCGGATTGGTTCTTCAGGTTTGTTTCGTATGAAACCCGGGAAAACTAAAACAGTTTATTTGAGGCCGTCACCGGCACGCTGCAGTTCCAGCCACAGCGTTTGTTTCATTCATGTCTTTAAAAACATCACACGGGCACGTTAACAAGCTTAAAAAACGTCACCAAAGGGGGTCTTTAAAATATTTGTTATGGATTATATAATTGCTGCGTTTGCATAAGCAGCTCCCTGTTTTTGTTTACTAGTGCATCCACATTAAAACTGGTACAAGCATGTACATATTCCTGCCAGCGGTTTCATGCCACTCTGCTGTTTGAAACGCAGAAACAAACATATGCATGTGCCAACAAAAAGCAGGGAACAAGACAAAAGCTACATGAAGCTAAACATTAATGCGAGCACTACGTACATGCAGATTACAGACGGAGCCAGAAACCTGTTTAAGACACGACTGCTGCAAACTGTACAGTCGTCTTTCGTGCTCATGAATGAACTGCAAGTGGGATTTTTTGTTTTTTTTTCTGAGTAAGAAGTGTCAAACTTAACGCAACAGAAGGTAGCATCATGCTGTAAGTTAGCTATCCTGTTGCAAACTCCATTAAACAGGGGCCACCCTTCAAAACGGGCTGTTTTAATGGGAAGGAAATGAACTAATTACCTTTAAAGGTCCTGAAAACATTCTTGATGAGTTTCTTCCTGAAGTACTGGGATTCTGGACAACAGTTTTGGTTATTCCACTTTAGAGATTGCTGTATTTTTTCACTTTTCTTGCCAGTCTGTAGGTGGAAAAGGATGATGTCATGTACCGCCATGCAGAAAACAACATTTTAAATCACAACCTGATGACGGTTGATGGGTTGTTTGGTCGCTGCCAATCAAATCTGGTGGAAGATGATTAGCTGAGTTTTTGAGCCCCAGTTTGTTTACAATAATAAAAAAAAATTCCAGAGGGGACCTTTAACGTCCTTGAATAAAACGCTGTTCTCTTTGTTAAGAGCTGAAGTGCCCTTGAGCAAGATTACTTGCGGAGGCCTCAGCTGGAGGACAGATAGATTGTGTTGTTAGTCTGCTCTGGATGGTTCCATGTTTTATTATGAGAGCTTGGTATGTCACATTACCTTGAGAAAATGGTTTCTTCATGCTCTGTCAGTCTTATCTTGCTCTTTTTCTTTCAGCTGTCAGATTTTGCCGGCTTCAGAAAATCTACCAAAACATCTTTCGAAGGAGAGAGAAAGAGCGAGAGAGAGAGAGAGAGCTTGGATTTGTCCTTACATGTTCACTAAAGGCATTTTTTTATTTTTTTATTTTTTATCCCTTGTCTGACTAGCACGCCTTATCAACATAACCAGCCCTCAGAGATTCAATATTAAGCCCAGGACACAAGAGGATTTGTGCTTAAACGACGCAGGTTTCTGCAACAATGAGGCAGCAGCTGTCCCTCAACCTCGGCCCTCTTTTTTTTTTCTCTGCTTGTGTTTGTTTCAGATATTGTTCCGGTGGGAATTATCGCCGGTGGTACGGTGGGCTCCTCCATTCTGCTGCTTATGTTTCTACTGGCGCTCGCCTTCTTCCTCTACCGCCAACGCAAAGGCAGTGAGTGCTCTCCGTGGTTCTCTTTAATGTGTTTGCGTAGGGCCATGCACACACTCGCCGCATGTGTCGATCAGTCTTACTTTCATCCACTCGCCACTATCTGTCATTCCGCTGTGCCATGAAGAAAGCCACATATGCCAACCGTATAGCATTTTATTCAAATTAGATTAATGAATATTCATAAAATATGGCAAACTGCCTTAAAACGCCTACTGTACATTTCCCCCCTTTTCATTCCACTGACATGGAATTGTGTTATTATTTTTTTAAATAATGTATTTATACGCCACTTGTACATTAGAGTACATAAATAACGGAGCAGAAAACAGGAGCGTTTTCAAGGTGAAGCGTATTTAAACGATGAATTCCTATATGTTATATCTACAGCCCGAGGCAATCCAATTAGTATTATGAACGCAAACTGTGCTTCTGCAAAATCAGAGAGCTAAAAACATGTGGTGTCTTTCAGTTGTTTCATTCTGAGCTGCTCCATTGCAAAATAAAGAATTGGGAAAGACAGTGAAGGTGACTGGCAGACTCCCCAGAGGGATTTTCTGGGGATAAGAGTATATTTTCTGGTTTGGAGCTGATAACACCACTACAGAAAAGATATCGTTTGGAAATAGAAACTCAAACAAACATCGTTGTGGCTCCAGATAAACAGTCTCTCATTTGTTGTCTACGAAGCAGCTCAAGACTTCACAGATTTAAATCTTTACTTTTAAGGTTTCTGGCTGGGGAAGTGAGTTGTTCGTGTCGACAAACACTGACTGCTTTCGGGACACATTAAGCCGAGCATTTCAAGTTGCACAAGGCAGTGTTTAGCATGGAAATTTCTTCTTCTTTTTTTTCATTGCCCTACAACTAACATTTTTGTAGTGATGCAGAAGACAGTCTTATTCAGACTGAGTAAAAAGCATTTGCATATAGTAGATATATTTAAATTTCACCCTCTTTTTATTTAATCCTGAGTTTTATTATGCTGCTGAAAACATTCAAGTCAGTCAAAGTATAGTGTGTGTAAAAAAAGATGGACAAACTCTCCATAACATTATCTATAGGTTTACTGAGCAGCGATTTTAATGTGGATACCCCCTTTAAATATGCACAACTTTAAGCCTTAATACAATTTAATCAAGTGAGTTGTATGAAAATCCCCTCACCATACAGTTTTCAGGAACAGGGACATTAGATGTAGACACCAAAGTCATTTTTGTATCAGGCTGTAAACATGTTTGTTACTGCAGTAGAGTTGGGCGTTTTAACATAGAGGTCAATGGGGATTGACTCGCTTTCAGAGCCAGCCTCAAGTGGCCATTCAAGGAACTGCAGTATTTGTGACTCGATTGTAGATTCGATGTAGATTCTTTCATTTGATCTGATCGTTTGTAGGGTTTTTTTTGACTGTACAAAAATTAGACAGAACTACCACAAGGAGCTGCTGAAGTCACAAATCTTAAAATTCCAACAATGGGGCTTTAAACTGTGCAAGATTTCATACAAACAGTCAAAACAAATGTCATTCTGAGAGATCTATTTTTTAAAAAAACATCCTCTTTCTCACCATTATCAACCACATTTCCCTAAAAAATTCACATTAATTCAATACAGCACCAAATCAAAACATATTTCATCCCAGGAAACTCTACATAGGTCAAAATGTCACAGTATTATAGAGAGAAAGCCAACAATTCCTACTTTAACAGCACTTGTTGACAGGAAAAACACAAATTCAGGTTTCTGCTTTAATCTGTCTCGAAATGAATGCCAAAGGAACGTGAAGTTTTCTGGCATCTAGATTCATTGCGGTGAACACCAGACTCCAACAATTGACTTTTTTTTTGTTGCCTTTCTAACCAGACTGACAAATAAATCGATAATTTATGTTGACATTGACCCAAATGTGGGGCTTTTTTTTTTCCCCCTTCCAGGTCGCCGAGGTGTCACCCTTGGTAAGCCAGACATCAAGGTAGAAACGGTCAATAAAGAGACCCACAGCCTGGAGGAGGAGGCGGCCAACGTCTCCACGGCAACCCGGATGGTCAAGGCCATGTACTCCGTGAGTAGACACCCATCTGAGTCAGCGAGGGCCGCGGAGAAGAGGCGTACGGGTCAATGACCTTAAATGTACAGATACACCGACATTGAGGGCGACATGGCAGGAGCGGCGAACACACACTCGCACGAGGAAACAGAGATGCGTGCACGAGGTCTCAGATGCACATATACAACAAAAACGCATCAACACACATGGACACACATTCAAATCGATGAAGTGCTTAATGTGCACACATTCATGAAGAGACACGAAATGTACAGTTTAAGCTACAATCACCTCCAAACACACACACATACTCGCTTTAACACTGTGTTCCTTTTAGAAAAGCCCTGGAAGTCCCGGAGAATCAAATCGACGAAGCCCCTTTGACGTGGTTTTAAAGCGAGAAAAAGGCCGAATCCCTCTTTTTTTTCCCCCCGACAGCTAACTCGTTTCTCGCCTTCCAGTCTCTTGGGATGAAAAAGCTGAAACTCTGTTTTCCTCTCCCCTCCCTCTCTTCCTTCTCCTTTCCTTTCTCACCCTCCCTCTTTCCGTGTGTGTGTTTCGTTGTTTGATGGTTTAGTTTCTGCCCTCTGTTTCCCTCTCTCCCTCCACTCAGCCGTTCAAAGACGACATGGACCTGAAGCAGGACATCAGGAGCGAGAGCGACACCCGCGAGGAGTACGAGCTCAAGGTGAGATGACTCAGCAAAGACGCTTTGGCATGCTGACACTGAGTTTCTGAGGAAAACACTTATCTACTGCATCTCTGACATTGCGTCCTGCATGGTGCATGAGCTTTGTGGTCGTGTTCATCTCTCAGTTCCTGCTAGGTGTTCTCTTTCCTCGGGTCCTGCACTGACGCTGCAGTTACAAGCATCTTTTCCTTATTATAGGCGGCATTGAGTTTATGCAAATTAACATTTTTCTTACTTCTAAAATAGAATCCTGCATTTTCACACATCATAGTGCCGTCGGTGAGCGACCGAACTAGTAAAAAACCCTCTTAACCCCAAAACCCATCAGTGGGTTTGAAGGGCATGTTTATAAAAAATAAAATTACGCTACTTATTAGTGGCAGAAAATGTAAAAACAGACAAAATAATGTGATTCTCAACATTCTGACATTCCTTGAACTACTCATCTGTGACATGCAGGAAAATTTATCAAATCTAGGCTTGAATATTTTTGCCAAATGACTTTATTTTACATATCTTGTTTTAAAATTTGGCAAAAAATAAAGCATTTGCTCCAACAAGATTCTGCACAAAACAAAAAGATTTGGTGACTCTCAGTACAACTGTAAAGCCGTCAGTAACTCAGCTGCAACCAATAGTCAAACGTTCTGGGACTTTAAGGCGGAGCTACAGGCTGCAGTTACAGAACATAGATAGGAGACACATGTAAACAAGTGGAAAATGTAAAACTTCTGTAGTTTAATAACGTCACAGCTTTTTCCAGCGTTGGTCGCAGCAGTGAGCACTTATAAAAATGTGCACGTGTTGATTTCAGGTTTTTAAAAATCTTGTAAAATCTGTTTATGATTGATGGTTTTATAAGTTAATCATGCTGCACAGAAGACATTTCTGAGTCTACCTATAGCTGTGTTGTCTCCATAAAGAGGCAGGACTTTATATTTTAGTAAAAAATGACAACAGTAAAGGATGAACTAAACAGCACCAGAAATGTTTGACATGAACCTGCTCTGTGATGTTTTTCTTCCAGTGTTTTTAGTTTTTAGTCCAGGTATGGCCTTGAGGAATGAAGGTTTGTCTTGGTATAATTAAATTATGGTACCATAAGCTTACCTGGTCGTACATGTTCGGCATCACTCATGCGCCATTACTGGTACATAGCATGGAACATCCCCGAGCATTTCACATGAATCAGTTTTCTCTTCTAAAAATGACTTTCTTGAGAGTTCTAAATCAGATTTAATGTAAGAGTTTTAGTTTGTTGTACTTAGCTTTTTATATATTTTCATATTCTGTGTAGTCTTTTGGTATTTTCTTTATTATTTTACCTATTTATTTATTTATATGTATTTCTTTTTGAAGCAGATGTTGTTGAAACACTTGAGCTCCTTGTTTTTTTCACGGTTGGCACATTTATTGAGCTATTTACACCCAAACCTGAAACAAACTGCTTTTGCTAATTTCAGACCAAGCAAACAAACAAACCTTCCTTATATATGTGTGAATGCTGAGTGTTCTTACCTCTCATGCACTGTAACAGAAATAAACGGACTAAAAGACTAACATTTTCCCGTCTGATCGCAGGATCCGACCAACGGCTACTACAACGTCCGAGCCACCACCCACGACGAGGCGCGACCCCAGTCCCGCGTCATCCACTACCAGGGGGAGTTCCGCTCTCCCAACCCAAACAGCGGACCGGCCGGAGCCACTTCCAGCGGACCCCCAGCTGCCGCCAGCGGTGCAGTCCCACCCAGCCAAGTGCCGGGCTCCAGAGCGGGCTGCTACGACCCCCGGCCGCCTTCCAGGATGTCGCACGCCACCTACGCCCAGTTCAACACCTTCTCTAGGGCGGCACAGAGCCAGCAAGCGCCTCCCAACCCTGCCCTTCAGTCACCCGGAGATTACCCCGGAGACTGCGGCCTGCTGGACAGCACAAACCAACTGCCCTACGACAACTACGGATACCCTTCCCAGTATCCCACCTATCCCAGGATGGGCTTTGCTCCGCCCATAGAGGAAGGGCCAGCGTACGAGATGTATCCCACAGGACAAGGGCCGGGACCTGGGCCAGGGCCAGGGCCAGGGCCAGGACCGGGACCAGGACCAGGACCGGGACCAGGACAGCAAAGTCCTGAAACAGGGCTGGGGAAGTATGGAAGCTCTACTCGCTTTTCGTACTCATCGCCGCCTTCTGACTATTCCCACAGACACACACAACGGATGCAGACTCATGTGTGAGAACCATACTTGCTTTTTTGAAGCAGCAGCAGCAGCAGTACTTCTACATAAACACAGAAATACTTTGAAAAGACAAAAAAGAAAAAAAAAAAACAATTCCACCTTTGTATACATAAACAAGAATCCCTTTTTCCATAGCAACCACTGCATGGAATTTCAGTTCATTTTCTCGCCCAGCAGTTAGCAGCATCAGATATAATACAGTTAGCAGCAATACGTGCGACATTCACTCACATTTGCGCAAAAAGCTTCTGTCTGCAGCGTCGAAGCTCCAACAAAAGCAACCGCGAGAGCCACAATCAAGAGAAAAAAAAAGAGACGAGCACTTTGAATACAGGAAGACGAAGAAGAAGAAGAGCTGAAGGAGGCGCAGAGGAAGTTCTCATCTTGCTGTCCGATCACCTCCCGGCATCACCTGGTCCTCCCACCCCATCTCTGTAAATAGGCGCAAATGGAGATTTGGGTCATTTTAAAGTTATTTCCTTGTACAAACATTGCAATGCAGTACGGTGAGCTACAGAAAACCTCTCTGCTAGTCACACTTTTTTGCATTTTCTGACTCTCACATATTGCAAAACACACACACACACAGATCTTTAAAAACGTTTCTATGTGTTGCAACAACGGGGCAGCTTGGACTATAAATATATCTGGCACTTTTATGATCCCGCTTTTTTCCTCACAGAAACTCGCCCGATGGCCATTTCTTACAAGATCTACCTTGATTTAAGTGGGACAAAGCTTCTTAAGGTGGTGCAGTGACTGAACCGGAGTGCCAATGCTTATGTGCCAACACACACAAACTATTGTGTCTTCTTTTGTAAAGCGCGGACAATGAGGTGCTCTGGACGACGAGATTTTTGTACATGCCACACCTAAAGCGGGAAGGGAGCGGTAGCAAGCGTCTCTGTGCTCCTTTTCCGCCTCCTCATATTTTCATTTTTATCATCATGATGCATTTCTATACTTCACATTTCACTTGATGCTAAAAAAAAAAAAAAAGGTGTTTGTGAAACGAGGTGCGGTGGGAGTTTTGTTTTTTTCTTTCTTTCCGCTGAAGTTCTCTGCAATTTGTACAAAAAGATACCTCCCCTACCCTCAAGTGTCAAAAAAAAAGTATTTGTTTCTCTCACTTGCACAGTAGAATAGATTTTTTTTCCCATATTTATACGGAAACGTATGAAGAACATGGCATTCAGAAGCATTTTATAGTATTTTTATAAGGAGTTGTGGACCAAAGGTTCAGCGTTTTGAGGTGACACTTTTTAACGTGTATGTGGCTCCGTGATCGTAACGTTCCTTTTAAAAAAAGGAGACGGATGGTGTTTTTAAAGTGGATGTTGAATTAGAAAACTTGAAGAGCTTCACTCCAAAATGATCAATATCCAGCTCAAGTGAGCGTTTCCCTTTTGATGGATGTCTTTGTTTGGCGTGAAACTCTTTCTTTGACTTCCAGTCTTGTGACTGGACTGCCTTTTTCTCAAACGTCGACGACATTCAAAGTGATGGATGGAGAACGAGCAGCTGCTCCCTTTGAGCCGCGCTGCAAACTTTGTAAGCAATGAGAACGTTCAAATGTGGTCTAACATATCAAACGCGAAGGTACAGAGGGTTCTATCTAGCTCATACGGTACTTTGTACTGCATTTAAAGTGTGTGTAACGTGTGCCGGTTTCCTCACTGCGACAAGAACATTTTGGTGGTGTTTTCTGTCCGAGATTTTTCCATTTTGTTGTGTCCGCTTTTGGTGAGTGTGATTGGCCCCACCGGGTTTATAATAACGTGCATTTAAAAGGTTGCTTCTCTTAAACCAAATCTGTGAAAAGCAGTCGCGTTCCCACCGATTGCAATCATTCATGTTTGCACATCGCTTCATCTCAGAAACTTCACCTTTTACGGTGACAATCATGTTGTTGATTTGACTACGAGGCGAGAGCATCAATCTTTATTATATTCTGACCTTGGAGTTATAAGGGTCTAATTTTTCCCCCCATTTTTATTTCTTAAGGAACATTGAAACGATAAACGAACTCCTTCCACGTTTACCTAAGTGCACATCCTGTCCGCGGTACTGGACAGTCAAAGTTAAGAGCAACAGAAAGCAATAAGGAGTCACCCGCTTGTATCTTTACTCCACATTTCTGAGCAGTTAAAAACGAGAGCAGATGACGGCGGCGCTTTAAATAAAACCCGCAGGCTGCAAAAAGTGAAGCCAGAAATCTCTGCACCTCCGGAGGTAATCATCGAGCGTTCGCACTTATCAGCCACCCTATCAACCCCTCACGGTATATTATGGTAATTGCGTGCTAAGGGGCAGTTTTAAAAATAAAAAAATGTATTTATTGCCTCTGTTTAGAATAAACACTGAGAAAGGAAACCACAAGCTGCGCCGTTTCCATATATCAGATGGAACCTCGTAGCTCCAAGGTCACTATATAAAGCGATTCAGTAGTTATGGAGAGAAGAATGGCAGATGGAGCACCCTTTTAAATTTATATGGTTATCACAGCCTTGGTATTGCATTCTATTACCTCTTTACAACCTTTTTACAGAGTTGTAGCTGCGCAGTGTTTTGCATCTGACTTGCAATGTCGTTATGACCTTGTGTAGAAGGAGTAAATTTGACACACACGAGGTACTGAGGCCAAAAAGACACACAACGCCAGGCCAGCCAGGTACTTAGTCATTACCTCTTAAGTATTTGTTGACAGTGGGGGGCGTATAAATGTGCAAAAAGACACCACAGATGCCAAAAAAACGCAGTACAGATGTTTAGATTTGGTTCCGCAGTGAAAAAAATGCACGATTTGGACGGAGAATATGGATGAATTTTACTCCAATAGGTTGTTACTTCCTGTCTTTTTTCCATCACCGCAACATGTGCTGATGCTCTTTACTCTCTGTCACGTTAATACCAGCTTCCAAATTTAAATCAGTCTTTTGTCAAATCTTCCTTCAAGATTACAACATGTGGTTTTATGTGTCTAACTTTGCATAAACGCTTGTATGTCGAGGGGTTGGTTGTCTTTTCTCAGACAATATTTAGCTTCACAAGCCTCTGAACATCCATTTAGTTTATTTAATTCACAGTGTTTTTTTGTTTTTTTTTAAAGGAAAGCAGTATATTAAATCTTATTTTCTTTGCATTTCTTTTTGAAGCGTGTAAAAGTGTGTTTAAACTTTTTTAAAACCTGTTTTATTTTATTTTATATGCATCTGGGGGTTCTAATTAATCAAAAAATAAGTAAAAATGGAGAGAGAGAGGGCATATGTGGCCAGAAAAAAACGACTGCTCAGCCAGGCCACAAATAGCCAAAACTCCGTCTCAACTAGGCCAGCCCAGGCTAGAAGCAGGCCAGACCCGCAGCTAAGCGCTCTGTTCCATGCTGTGCTGTGCCGTGCGATCCCCGGCCAAGAGCGACTGAAGCGACTCGGTGTCCATTTTTACCTTTTGGAGTTTTTCGGTGGGCGCCAAAAGACTGTGGAGAAAAAAAAACAACAAAAAAAGAACTGAGCAGACAAACAAATGCAGCAGCCGTTTGTGTTTATTGTGTTTCATGAGTGACAGTGTGTGAGTCTGTGGTCGTGTGTGTGTGTGTCTCCATACATACACATGTACTGTCCATCTGTGAATGTGCATGTGTGTGTTGGCAGCATGTAACCCAAGTGTGTGTTCATGCTTTTTTGGAAACATGTTGGGACGGCTGGCCTGCAGAAAGGAGGGTTTGACTGATGTTTGCAGTAAATATCAGTAAATGTCATGCTGTCACCTGCTGGTATGATGGAGATAACTCCTGACTGCAGCGACCAAACCTGAAACTCTGCCACGAGAAATTAGATTTTCTTTACAAAGTGTGTATTTTATAGTTTGATGATCATTTCTGTGACAGTGTACTTGCTTGAAAGGCAGCATTGCCTGCAGATCATGGCTCAAGATTAGATTTTCCACATTTTTAACATATTGGCTGGAAGTAGAGAGACCACAGTTTTTTTTCTGTGCAGTAAAGCAAAGTTTTAACACCATAAATTATAAAGATGACAAAACAAAAGTTCAACTTCTTTCTTTATAAAAGTTGAAAAAAAGCAGAATTCTTCCAAATGCTCACAGGTTCTCCAAGTACTGAAAAAAAAAGGAGACTCTGATTCTATGGATATTTTACTGCTTCATTTTTACTTAGTTTTAGTATTTTCTGACAATCTGCTCTGCGTAAACACAGCCTGCAGTTCAGCCCAAAAGTCCCAGAACTTTAGTCATGTGACTGCTGGTTGAAGGGCTTTTTAGGAGGAGTGCAGAAAAGTTTGTTTTTTTACAGAATCTCATTGATGCGAACGATTAATTTTTGGAAAATTGTCAAAAGAGACGTGCAGAATAAAATAAATCCGACAAATTTGTTACAATTTTAAGCTTAGATTTGGTCGATTTTCCGAACAGAACTATTCATCTGTCATAATACACTTAAGTATCGTTGGAAAACTGAAAATCCAACTATTTTTAATTTGTTTTTTTATAGTTTCTTGCTGGGATAAATGGTGTAATTTTGGCTATTTTTCAAAAGTAATTTGCCTTTTAAATTTACCGGGAGGTTTTGGGGTTCAAAGGGGTTAAATCTGAAAGCATCTTTTCCTATGTAGTAATTTTAAACACTACGGGCAGATTTCAACATGTCAGAAAAACAGGACCATAACTATAGTTTTGTGCTTTTGAAGGAAATGACGCTGCAGCTATTCATTGGGACAAAACTAAACGACTTCCAAACAGGTATTGGCTTCTATTGAACTCATTGTAGTGACACAGAATACTAAAACCGCAACCGTAATTAGTCCGGCTGTAGGAAGAGTGATACTCAGCCTCCAAAGAATGGACTTTTCTGTCTTTCAAAAACAAAAAAAAGAACACCTGTGCAAGTTGTTGAACTTCTCTAACTTCAGCCAAAATTGGTTCACAAGCTTAATACAGACGCTAGCAAGCTAACACAGCATTACTTCCAAAGTCAGCAGCATTTTGTAGAACCGTAGTAGTGTTTAAAAAAAGAAATCAGTTTTGATCTTCTGTCAGTGTTAAGGATAACGCTAGTGGCTCCTTCCAGCTCTCTCTTGGGTTTTTAGGATGTCTTCAGCAACTCGAGCTAAACTCTACCTCAGTCTGAAGTGTCAAAAGTTCAACAGTGAATCTGACATCATTTAAAGTTGCACAGTTTCCCTGCTGGAGAAGGAAGAAGGAAACTCTGCTGCAAAGAATCGTAAGGATTACAGTGCACTCTATGGCAGTATTGTGTCTGTTTTGTTTTCCCATGATGCTTTAAAGTTCATTAGAAAACAACACGGGGCGCATGTGGCATTTTGGAGTAACGACACTTTTTCCAAACATCAGTCAAACCCGAGCAGCAAGCAGGACAGCTGGTTAGACAAAGGAGACGTCGCGTGGCCTGAGGTCACGACTAAATCCAGCTGCTGAGCCCAAACAGCTGCACGAGTGAACAGGATCCACCGATGTTCTGAGCATATAATGACAACAATCAGAGAGAAAGGAATCCATATTGCACTTAAGTGGAGCCGCGCATCACCACAAAGAGAGGAACAGTGTGTGTGTTCAGACAAGCGTATATATTCTCCATATTCCATTTAATTCCTTATTTTTTATCCCTATATATTGTTCACGTGTATTATGTTCTTGTTGGGTTGCTTTTTTTTTGTTTGAAAAAAAAAATGTACAAAACATACAAGATATAACTGAATTCTTTCATTTATTTTCCTGTTTTTTTGTTTATTTCTGTTTTTTTCAAATTCTATGTAATTATTTTTTCACAGTATTAGAGAAAATAAAAAAAGACACGGTTTCATAAGAACACTGGTTAAAGTTTCTTTCATTTCACCTGCAAAAACCTCACCTGTAGAGTTCATTTGTTTTATAGACTATCCTCCAGAAATACATACTTTTTATTTGAAATGCGGGATTTGCTCACATGCTGCTGTTTATTTAGGTCAAACCATGACTGACTTCACTCAAACACTTGTTGTGACAGTTTCTCATGTCGACGTGGAAAGTGAGTCTATGTATAGCAACACCAGCACCGGGGCATATATGTGTTCACCTGAATGTGAAGCAGCGGCGCTCAGAACAAACATCGGCAGTCGCTCCTCTGATTCAGAACTCATTTCTGCATCATCCTCCTCCTCGCCTCGTCTTCTCCCGCCTCATTTTGTCTGTTTTTTTCTCATCTCCTTCATATTGTAGTTTTAAATCTTCCATCTCCGCCTGTAATATGAAGTCTCCGCCATTCCCTCCTATACTGTACAAAAGAAAAAGAAAAATACAGTTCTTTGCAAAAATACTGTGAAAATCTGGCAGTAAGAGTAAAACTTCAAATATTACAAATATATTAGTCTTTTAGGGCATTTATTTCTGTTATAGTACATGAAAGGTAAGAACAGCAAGCATTCAGACATATAAGGAAGGTTTGTGTTGTGTGTGGTCTGGTGTGAGCTTGGTCTGAAAAAACTGTAAGAATGGTGAAGATAACAGCAAATATCTGCAAAATAACAACAGTTTCAATCCCAAAAAATTTATTTCAATATGATATATAGAGATATAGACAATATCTTCTTTAAAATTATGGCAAATATTTGTGAAATACTAACATTTTTTGCTGATTTAAATTAATAAAAAAATAGTGTAATGTTAAGATGAGACTTTTTTTATGATATTTGATGTGCACATTATTTACAATTTTGGTCTTTTAATGTGTAAATGTTTACTCGTTTTCTGTCTTACTAGTATTAATTTTACTTCTTAGCATCTTTTATTTTACAAAACAGGGAAAATCTGTAACAATAACAGTCAGTTGTTCAAGAAAATAACAGTTCAACCTTTATTTTTTTTTAGTGAACATCTCTTCTTCCCTCCTTTTGTCTTGTCACTTCTGTTCACATGTAACTTTTCCTAATTTCTCTCAACACGTCTCCTTTCATTCGCCCTTCATCGTCCTCTAACCTCTCGTCTTTCCTCAAACTATTTTTTTCAGCTCTTGTCTCTCTGGCGTCGCTGACAAGATATTTGTCACAGTCAGAGATGTTGTAGTTTTGCGTTGCTCCGTTTGTGACATGCGGTCATAAAATGTGCAGCTACTGCCAACAATTTGTTGTTATTTTGCAGATTTACCTTAAATTATAGTTATTAACTATTTAAAACGCAGAATGGAACTTAATGTTAACTAGGGATGGACTGATACCTCTTTTTGATTTCCGATACCGATACGATACTTCAACTTTGAGTATCTGCCGATACCGATACCGATACCATCTCTCCTCCTAAACTTCTTTGGAAATACCTTATTTGCATGGATACATCTGTTTAAGATGCTTTATCAAAAGCCTCATACTATTAAAGCATAGACTTTGCTTTTCTAAGAAAGGAAAAAACAGCCAAAAGCACGTCTCAAAGTGAAACTGTAGCTGCTTTATTTGAGCTGCAGTCAGACTACAGTGTGCACTCAGAGCCATTCACATATTTAGAACAGATCACAATGACACAGCAACATTAAGCTGCAATTTAAAGGTT